ACAACAATTCATGCATTGTAATCCTATTGGTAATTTGGTGAGCCGGAGCTCACACCTCCTTGCTGGAATGTGATCTCCACCAGGTGTCTGGCGTGATGCTAATTTGTATGTTAAATGTAGGTGTGGGTGCAAAACAAGCCAACTTGTCTTTGTTAAAATGTGAATTGGCTGTCTGGTCACAAAGAGATGCAGACATCTAGTCTCTACACAGAAGTTACAGCATTCAAAGTAAGCAGATTCTGCTTCATTACAGCTGTAAGATATATAAGCAAGGGAAACAAATGCATTAAAATAACCAAAGCTCAGTAGTTCTGGACAATCATCAATACAGCTGTAATATGCATAAACAAGTAAGATAAAGTTATGAAAGGTAACTAAAAGGAACTACAGGTATGAGAAGTAACTAAAGCTGATAAAGTAACTAGAGTCTATAAGACTCAAATCTTACAATAGAAACAGCTGTCAGTTTCTCTTTGTCCATCCACCACTTTGGTCTAGACTGTAATGTCTCGATTTTTGAATGGAGTGCCATGACATCTTACAGACACCAATACCTCCAGAGGATAAGTCGCCAGTGACTCTGGTGATCCCTTCACGTTTCTTCTTTGTGACTTTGAGTGAAATGTCTCAACAGCTACTGGATGTATTGACATAAAATTTGATGTTGACTTTCATGCCACCTTCAGGATAAATTGTAAAAACTTTGGTGAGCCCTTGACTTTCCTTCTAGCATCATCCTGACATCCCCATCAGCCTCAGCTGTACTTTTCTTTTTAATTGAAGATTTTCAAACAATATTTTTTTAAAGAAATATAGAAATACTGGATTTCTACTTTCCTCATTTTGATCCCATTACAACCCAGTATTACCAATTCGACAGTTGGTCTAGCTAACTAAAAACAGAATAAAATACAAACTTTAATATATATGTGTGTGTGTGTGTGTGTGTGTGTGTATGTGTGTAAATAAATTACTGAAAAGGGGAAGGGGGAATCTAGGCCTCCACACTAGAACACTTTAGGTTCACTAAACCAAGATTAGTGAACATGGTTAGCATGAATCCTTAGCATGTCTACACCTGTATGTGTAGGTGTAGCCTCTCAGAGCTGTTGCATGTCTGTAAACTCTAATGCTAATACAGAACATGATGAGTTGAAGTGTGATAGTCAGCCTGGGGAGCAGCAGATGCACCTCTCACCTCCAGAGGTGACCTGTGAATTAAACATGTTGGGTTCCTCTCAGCAGCTCAGTGACAGGCAGAGGCAGTTGTAGAACTATTTTGGTTCTTGTTACCATTGCTAACTCTGAGAGACGAGACAGTCCAAGTAACTTCAAAAACGTGCTGATTTATATTGCCATATGCACAATAAAGACGTTTCCTTGTATACTGAATGCTGGTAATGTTTCACGACCCAGCGACAGCATTGGGTCTGTTATTCAGTACATTTAGTGCAGGTTAGTTCAGGCCACCTAACACAATCGAGTCTGGGAACTGAGCCATGGTGTGAAGTAACATGGCAGACGGATATGGATCCAGATCAACTTGTTTTGCTTCTGTTGTACCCCGTACTTTTGACCATACTGACTCTGAGAGACGAGACAGTCCAAGTAACTTCAAAACAGTGTTGATTTATTCAAAGGATCACAGAGAACATATTATGGCTAAGGCTACAGTTATACACGTCATTATAATAATATTAACACCCTGTCTGCTGACAGTCATCAACATTTCTCTCTAGTTATCCTTGACCAGATGTACCCTGTAGAAACTCATAAGCATGACTAAGCATTTAACAGTCTAACTAGACATCCTATCTCCACTAAACATTTCTAATACATAAAGTATCTATCCAATTTCTATCTGACTAAAAATACCCAACACAGTGGAGGTAGTTCTGCTACACTAGTGCTTCCACCACCATGATTAAGGCGTCAAGACCTTATTCCTCCTGATGCCTCCAGTGAGGAATGTCCATCCACTGTGGCAGAACAGTGAGGACGGCGGCTTGCGGCCAAGCGTCAGTGCATTATTCATGCTGCTCATAAATTGGCCAGCTGCAGCCTGCTTGGGAGAAATTGCTCTGAGTCTGAAACAGTCTTCCTCTTCCCACACAGCAGGGCTCCTGTTCGTGAGCTGCAGGTCTTCAGTGGCATTGTTCCACACAAACCACTGCTTCATATATAATGCTACAGTGGTGCTGTTTCAATGCCTGTTTTCCTCATGTGCTATACACTCTATCAGACTGAATTATATAGTATGTAGTGTCCCACTTGATCACACATGTATTTCCAATACATGTGCAGTATTTTTAATTTCTTGCTTTGTGAATCTATGGAGGTGCCAGAGGGCGTAATGCAATTGTGACTTATTGGGACTTAGATAACTCTTTTATATTGCTTCCAAGACCAAACATATTTTGGAGCAGAACCCAATAAAACCACAGTGATTTATGAACTCTTCTTTTTCATTGGTTTGCTATCTATTGTGTTTTTTTTTTTAATCCAAAACAGTCTTTAGAATGGCACATCTGTAAAGTGATAATAATCATGTTGATGATTTTTGTATGCACTTTAGGGACTGCAGGAAACGGTGTGGAGGGGAAAAACCAATTGATGCCATTATAGTGAATGGAAGCTTCTACTGTGTCACAGAATGGCAAGCAAACAATGGCTAGGTTTTCTTTAACAGAAATGTGTCCTCTCTGACCTGCTGTGTCTCATCCTCTCTTATCTTTAGATAACAAATACGCCCCTGCAGTGAGTCTAAATGGTTTTATATTCATCCTGGGAGGAGCCTATGCTCGGGCCACCACTATCTATGACCCGGACAAAGGCAACATCAAAGCTGGTCCCAACATGAATCACTCTCGGCAGTTCTGCAGGTAAGAGATTATTACAAATGTAAATTCATTCATTCATTTAAAAAAATTTTCTGAGCTCAAATTGCAAAGCTTCAAAAACACTCAAACGTTTACACAGCCTGAAAAATGTGTCAGACTTAAGCTTATTAGTAATCTGTCAGTCTTTCTGTGTGAACACAGGTAAATGGTTGTGCAAGGGAAATGTTCTCAGGTCAGCAAATTAAAACATGAACAAAGCCAGGAACAGTGTTTACAACAAGATGCATTTTGGTTGTGAAACGTCTCCCTCAAAAATTGCTTTCTATTTAATGGGCTTGCTTTTTTTTTTTTATTTATTATTTTTTTATTCGTTTGATCAGGAACAAAGCTATTTGTCATGCTGAGAGAAACAAGCCGGTCAAATAGCAAAGACTTGATTTAATCAACTTTCTTTCAAAGAATTTAATTGTGCTATTTTACTCAGATTTTTTTAAAACTTGATTATGAGTGACTGCTTTGTTTGTATTCTAAATAAAAAAAAGCAGAAAACCGCAGTGTACATGTCTAACTTTTATACCATTTGTGAAAACATAATGGATGATAAAGGCAGATAAATTAAAATTTACAACAGTGGGATCATTTCCTAATATCCCAGTTAGCTTGAGCCACCGTGATGTGATAATTAACTCACTGTTTTGCCTCTTTCTTTTTTTTTAGGCAGAGGCTGAGAAAGAAAGAAATACACATTTGTGAAATACATTTGGGAAGCTATTAGAGACACTTATCTTATATGCAGAATGTATAGCATAAATCATGTTGTCAGAGTTATTGATAAGCTGCACCAGCACACGCCAGGCAGCTGTTCTGCTACATTTAACTAAGTCTGACACAAGAGGGGAAGAGATGCAGGGAAGGAAGGAGAATAACAAACACACAGAGCAGCCAAAACAGAAATACTAAGAAACAGAACTGCCTACATTGCATGCTCCAGCACAAAGGATGAAGTCTGGCAGGTCACTGTACAGGAGAGCAGTTATTCACCCCTTGCTGCATCCGGTCCTGTGGAGGCCGCACCTCCTCTGTTTAATCAGGGAGTGCAGCTCCAGGCTTCGCCCTGTGTGCTGTCCATTTTGGATCAGCTGCTTTCTCTCTGAGTAGATTTAGGCTTTATGTAATAATCTTTTTCAGTCCCCGCAGTGTTGTGAATTTGTGCACTAGGACTGCATGTTGTTCATTCTATATGTGTGTGTGTGTGTGTGTGTGTGTGTTTGAACGTGCACCTTATGCAAATGCAGATTGTTTCAAACCCCAACAGGAGTACAAAGCCCTAATCAGCTTCCAGCCCAAGTTTTAATCCTCTGTGCACACAAACTCCTGTTTCTGTTTCTCATATCAAATGAGCACATTTGTATAGATATTTGCTTTTTCATCTCACCCTCAAGGGGCAATGTAATATGTGTATGTGTGTGTGTTTCCCCTACCTTACAAAGTGGCCTTGTCGGGCATATCGAGAGCTTTGTGAGAGTCAGGTCTGATAATCTCAGGTGTGGCCCCCAGCGCGACAATCTGCATGTTTGTGGAGATATTGTCTTGTGTCTGGCTTTGTTGTCTGATCCCAATTAACAATAACTGTGACTAATATTGTAACTATCTAACAGCAGCTAATTAGCTCCCTGACAATTATTGCCTCTCTATTATTTGCTCCTAAGAGTTAGTGTGCGCAGTGCAGGCATTCTAACATAAAATCTAAACTGAATTCATATTTTTGAAAATAATATTTGAAGACTTCAGTCAAATTTGATTTTGATAGATTTATTAATGGTGGTACATTAAATGCTCTTTGAGCTTTAACTTTGTCAGAAATAGAAAAGACGTGCATTGAGTGTATCTGTTTACAGTGCGACCAAACAAACTCATTGTAATGAAGAAGTCAGTCGGTAATCAGACTTCGTCCGTCAAGCCTTGAGCTAGTGTGTTCTGATTTCATGCTGTGCACAGTGCAAATAATTTTCCACTTAACAGCAGGACATGAAGAGGAGTTGTTAGCTCACTGAGAAGTTGGAGGTGTACAGCCGCCGGCAACTAAAATGAAGCACTGTCAAAAAATAGCAAAAAAAAAAAAAGGGTAACAGCAGCAGGAGGAAATGTTTGCAACAGCAGTAACAATGCAGCTCGGACACACTGTTAGGATAGTGAACAGTAAACAGGGAGGCTGATATCAATAAAATTTAAAACAATAACAAATGGCAAACTTGGCCACTAACAATAAATACTGTATAGAGAGGTACTACTGAATGTATGTACATTGAATAGGCATTACTGAAAACAATGCTCACCATACATAGTATCAAAACTGTCTGATTTTATAAAAATATTAAAAGGATAGTTGAACTTTTTGAAGAATTTAATAAGAAGACAAACCACTTGTGTTTATATGGTGCATGTAAAACTACAGTCAGGAGCCAGTTAGCTTAGCCTAGCACAAAGGCTAAAAACGGGAAACAGCTAGCCTGGTTCTGCCAAATGGTGATATTGTCCGCTCTAGTCTGGTTCTGCCAAATGGTGATATTGTCCACATTCTGCTACATTTAAGGCTCACCAGTTAACTCCCTAATTAATATTTTGTTTGTGCAATGCGTACAAGAATGTGTGGACATAATTCAGTTTTACTGGGGATTATGCATCCAGTTGTGTCCTAGCTATGAGTTGCTGCTTTCTTGTCATGGCTGTTACATGACAAAGGAATAGTCTGGCACAAAAGATTTTGTAAAATGGTTATTTGTTGTTTTTACACTTCAGTTTAAACAAATGACCATAACAAACTAAGTTAACTAACAGCTGGGTGTTGCTCTATATTTAATGGATAAGCATCAGAACAGTATTGATCTCATCTGCTGTAACTCCCAGTAGACAGCAGATACACAGCTTCCCATTGAATTGAATGGGAAAGGTGTGCCCAAACTTTTGACTGGTAGTGTAACTTTTCAAAGCAAGATTATTGAACAGAACAAAAACTCTGTGTCTGTGCAGTGCTGTGATCCTGGACGGGAAGATTTACGCCACAGGAGGTATTGTGAGCAGTGAGGGTCCAGCCCTTGGCAACATGGAGACCTTCGACCCCAGCACCAACACGTGGACACTCATGCAGTCACTGCCCTGCCCGCTCTTCAGACACGGCTGCGTGGTCATCAAAAAGTACATCCAGAGTGGCTGAGCGTAGCTCGGACCCGATCGCACTGGGTCGACGCCAAACACCAGCTGAGCTCCAGTAGTGGGACAATGTGCACTGGCAACTTAGGGCAGGGCCAGGTGGTCAGCAACCTCTGGACTTGACGCCAGCACCCATCCACCATGTCACCCGTCCCACAGCCCCCCAACCCCCCACCCCTAAAAAAGCCCTGTGCAGAATGTACTTATGCTCAAGTACTCAGCCATGTCAGGTGACGATGCCTAACCTCCAGTACTGTATGTGTCATGGTAGTAGTTCATCCTGTCATCCAATAGGCATAGGGTCCCTCTTAGTAATTTACAAGCTACTTGGTTTTTAAGGAAGATTTTCAGCACTGTCTTTTCCCAGTCTCACTAAACTCACCACCTCCGTTTCTTTCATGTACTCCGAGTAAAGAAAGCCATTCAGGTCCAATCGCTTTTGAGTAAATTATGTTTGACAGGTTTCTAAGTGTTGTATGAATGTTTTTCGGTAGTGACATCTATAGACAGGAGGAAAAGTGAAGTAAAGGTGTTTTCCTCTTTATCAGTGGGTTTGACGAGTCTCTTCTCTCGCCACTGAATCAGGAAGTGAAATTCCTACTGTGAAATTTTTAAAAGCAGATTCTGAACTCTGTGTAACCTGATTCTTTCAAAGGCTTGCTAAACATAGGAAAAACCATCACTTCTAGGTCAGGGAGGGTTTGAAAAGCGAAAACCTTTATTTTTTCTGTTCTTGTTTAATTCCAGCCTGATTGAGACATCATCTGGAGGGTGAGTGGCCTGTTCTTTTCCCTTTCATTTACATTCTCTTGCTCTGTGGGACAAAGAAAGCAGTACACTAATGGAGAGAGAGAGGGAATTTCTCTTTTCAACTGACGCCTGCTCAGATGTTCAAGTTGGGACAGTTGCTTTGGATAAAAGCACAATAATCACCTGTGACTGTTATTGTTGATTCATGTTTCTGTCTTTCATCACTTCTCCTCCCCACCCCCTTTTTTGTTTTAGACAATGTGATTCATTGCAACCCACAGATTATACTGGGTTCTTATTCTGTAAATACAGGAAGGAGATATGTATATTTTAAAACCTGAAGGCAATTCTGTATAAATGTTTTTAGAAAACAAAAGCTGATAGGTTGGAATCAAAATGTCTGTAAATCTATACCCAGAAACTAACAATTATTATTGAAACCTAATACATATACCAGAACATGAACACATTGTCAAGACTTTTTTTTTGCAAAATGAAAACCCTCTACTTGAGTCAGGTAAGTGAGGTTTCTCGTGTAACTGTGAAAAGAACATTTTGACATATAAAAACACGCGGGTGTGATTTTTGAAAAGAAGCAACTAGACAAATGCATTCCTGAAGAAAATGTGTGTGGATGCTGATTGCTGAAGAATTGCCCTGAAAATGCTGAAATCCATTGCTGAAACAGCTGAAGGCTGAAAAAAAAATGGCTGAAGTTCTTGTTGAAGTAGTTGAAGGCTGGGATGCGATGCTGAATAATTATGGAAGATGAAATGAAAAACTGAAGTTGGGAATTGAACCTCATTATCTGAAGAAGGTGAGAGCTTGCGAGCATTCCTAAAACAGTGGAAGGCTTAATCCCAAAGTGAGAGGTAGAAATTAAATGGCTTAAAGTTCTAAAAGAATAAATAATTTTTACTGACATCTGACAGATATATTTTGAAGGCAAACCAACCCATGTGTATGAGTGTCTCACTGTGCTACTGTACCTTTATGTGTGTTACTGTGTGACACCGTATTGCTTTGACTGTATATGTTTGGGCGTTTGTTATTTTGTGTATGTGTGTTACTCTGTTGCTGTCTGTCTGTGTCCGGATTATGACTAAACACAAAGTTGTCACACTAACCAATAGCAGTGACTACTGCTGGAACACAGGAATTTCCCCACTGTGGGATCAATATAGTCCCTCCTATCTACCTAAATGTTTTACATTAGTGGTCGACAAGTTTGTTTAAAGGCTGAATGTTTTTTCTAGCTGAAAGTATGCTGGAGTGATTAAGGCTGAAAGAGGAGAAAGATTTTAAGATTCTTTTATTATAAAAAAAATGCTGACAAAAGTATAAAATTTAATAAAACAAGTTGAATAGATGCTACTGACTCAGCATCCACACAAAAGTGTTGGTACTGAGCATTACTACGGTTTCTGTTCTAGTCTACGATGACCTTAGCAAAATGGCGGATTTAAGAGGTCGGCAGCTTCCGGTCGTGCCCAGACTGCTTGTAACGACCTCTCATAAATGGCGCATTTCTGAAATTTGCAAAACAAGAATCTGCCAAGGGTATGTAACGACAGGTACAAACACATTTCAACCTATGTTGTATTTAGCTTGATTTTATAATGCTTTTCTCTCCCAGTTGCAATTGTACTTTTACAACAGTTCTGGAACATTCTGGGTAATTAACATTACCTGACGAACAGCTGATAGGTGGTCACTAGCTTGGTGAACAGGCAAGTAAGTTGGCGCATTTTAAACACGTATATCAGTTAATGTGCGGGGTTGTATTTTTGTTTATTGCTGATGAAAACGCTAAGTTAGCAGCTGACGCTGATTTAGCTAGTAACCTAATTATTTATTTCAGCAAAGTACGCCAGCTGTAACAATGGTGCCAGCTAATGGATACAAACTGCTCAGTACTTTGCACAGCCAGAATAGGCCGATATTTCTGTGTCCTGTTATCTTATATTTCGCAAAAAGCTATTGTCATTTCCTGACATCACTTGCTTTGAATATAGGTTGTTTTCTGTTCTACTTGTACTTTTATTTTTTAGATTAATCAGCTAATCGAGTAATCCTATCAGCACTAACCAAGATGATTTTGCTTTCTGTCTTCTAGCCCTGACAGGAGACAAAAGATAGTGACATGGCAGAGATGGAGGAAGACGTTGGGGATTTGCCAGCCAGAGAAGATGACAATGACTCGGACAGAGATGAAGACGACAGATTGTTTGCTTGGATGGTGAATGATGTGGATGAAGAAGAAGAAGAAGAGGAGGTGGAGGAATTATTTGAGTTGGATATTCCAGCAGAGCGCAGTGGGCATATAGCTGTGGTTCATAGAAACCTCATGTATGTGTGGGGTGGATACAGGGTAAGTATATGTCCTAAAACTATTTTTATTACATTGTTTTGTGTGTTTTTCCCCACAGTCCTCACATTTATTATATTTTATTCCCCACCTATACAAGAATGCTCAAAACCACGGATTCTTTGACTTGTATCTGCCGAGAAATGAGATCTGGACCTACAACATGGAGTCAGGAGTATGGTAATAGCTGTAACATCACAGTTGTATATTTATACCATTGTCATGGGCACTTTTTTTTTCAAACACACAAAGTAGATGAATAACACAGCGTTTTCACAGGACAAAACATACAGCTGGAGGTAACCTGCACACATCCATGTCGGGCAGCTGTGGGGTGTGTGTTGATGGAGTTCTTTACCTATTTGGAGGTCATCATGCCAGGGGAAACACAGACAAGGTACAGTACAGCATACTGCATTAAGTAAATTTCCAATCATCTGCTATTTAAAAGGATTGCACCATGTGTGAACATCAGCCCTTGAAGTATGTCTGTTTCCTGTTTAAGGTGATCAGCTTTCAGAGCTCTTGTTTTCTGTGTGGTGCTTTACAGATCTACCGCCTTCCACTCAGTGCTCCTAGGCTTGTTTGGGAGGAAATGAAGAATCTCAAAGGACTTCCTCCATCCTGCAAGGACAAGTTAGGGTGCTGGGTTCACAAGAACAGGTCAGAGGTGGCTGTTTTTTTTTTTAATTTTTATTTTTTTCTTTTCCTCCTGAATTTGAATGTTTATTAAGTGTTGCTGTGCTATCCAAATACTCACATTGTAAATTTAAAATCACAAATATGCTGGGGAAAGTGGTAGCATGCGCATTCATTTCTTCAGGCTGTTCTCCCAGTTCCCTAGTAGGAAGCCTCAAAAACAAAATGTTGCACACTTTTCTACATGGGTAATTATAACAGTAAAGACAGGAATATTGTTTTTAAGTCGGTCGTATTTAAAGAAATACTCATGCAAAAGTTTAGGCACCCCTTGATAAATAACAGATTTTGGTGATTTTTTTTTTTTTTTTTTTGAAAATTTTTTTTTTTTTTTTTTTTTTTTTTTTTTAATTTTTTTTTTAAAAAAAAAAAAGGAAAAAAAAAAAAAACCCACCAGCCACAACAGTGAGGTAGTGCTGTGGAAGCCAGAAGAAAAATTAAGTTACAGAGAGAAACAGAGAGAAGCAGACAAACAATTAGGCGAGACAGTGGTAAAGAGGAGAGAGAGTCTGAGTGTGTAAATAGAGTTTAAATGTGCAGTAGGAATGAAATTCGCCTTGGGAATGCCTAGGTAAACAAGACAGCCGAGGCTTCGGTGGAGATGCTAATAATACAGAGCTGTTCTTATCAGCTGAGCAGATGGCCTAACCCATCACATCTACTCAAACAGGACCTAAACCATCAGCATTCTAATGAAATTATTTATGATCAAAGATTACGTTCAAAACCTTGAACATACAACCTGACGTTTACCTTCCTGAAAAGATGAGTGGCCAGAGATGGAGGAGGTTTATGATGAGAAAGACAGCGAGCCAGAAAGGGCAGAGAGAGAGTGTGAGTAAGAGGATATATGACAGGGAGTATATAGTATGTTTATGGACACAAACGATGAGAAAAAACACACAGAAAGAGAGGAAGGAAAGGTGGGAGAGGACAAAAACACTTATATATACATATACTTTGCTGGGGAGTGCAGGCAGACGCAGGGGAGAGAGGAAGGACAGACAAACAAACGATGTTCTGAGTGAAAAAATGTAACTGATGGTTTGTTTTAGAGGGCATGTTGCCCCTGTGGATCGTCCTGCCCTGCTGTCTCCTGTCCCCCTGTCTGACCCCTCTGCCCCAGCTTACACCCTGGGCTGCTCCCCTGACAGGAGAGGGAAGTGGGGGGGGGGCACGTTTAGCCGGCTTAGCACAGGTCAGGCACCTTGACCAAGGGCACAGCCTGCCGCCCACTCCCCTGACACGTCCAGGTATCATTTTTCTTCTCACCGGCTCTCCAGGTCCATGGGGTAGGACTGGATAAGTCTGACTTCTTCCTACTCCATTCAAACATGTAATAGGTGTAAGCAAACTGATTTTGGATTAGCATTGGTTGGATATGTGTAATTATGTGTGTTGTTGTCATTTGTTCATTTGTTCTGTTCTGCATGTTTGAAAGAATAAATCAAATCAATAGTATTTTGTTTATTTGAATGGGTTTTCTCAAGTTGCAGTGCACTGAGCTCTCAGGGCCACCATACAAGGACAGAGAACTTTGAGAGAAACAGAGAAACATGAAGAACATATTTGCCTTATGTAAGTCATTCTTTGGTCACGGCAGCTTGACATATTGTAACTTAAGATGGGACAAGTAACTAGTCTCTCTATATTACTAAAGTAAATCCACACATTGCATGTACAAAATGCGTATTTAGGTAAAATTATTTCTACGTACCTGTACGGGCCTTGTATATGGCCAGAAGCTGCTCGCCCTATGACATCCTGGCCATAAGGGAAAAAATAACCAAAACACATAATGCACACTAGATAACAATGTATTATTTAAGACCATATTTTAAATCGATTTTGGCTGTGCACATTAAAACGTAAATGCTATAAACTTTACTTGTTGAGAAGAGATGGTGAATGTTTTATCATCATGGATGACTACACCAGGACGCCCATCTTTATTGTCCACACACTCGATTGAAGTCTGCAATATAATCCAAAATGTATTGTCAAGATGAAATGCATCATATATATTGCAATATCAAACTCCTCAAACTGCACTACATGAGTTACAAGTTAACGTTTGATTCCTCAACATGCTATCAATTGTAATGCTAACGACGTTCTTCAACCACATGGCAGCATTAGCAGAATCAAAATATCAGCTTTGATTCAATCATTCACCAAGTCAGTCCACATCTAAATACAAACAAAGCAGAACACTCCTTCAGTCTTTACAAAATATTTGTAGAGGTATATTCATTTCGTGTGATATCTAAACTTACCGGCGTCTTTATATTAATTGACGCCATTTTGTCGTCCGTCTTCAGAAATACACATGGGTGTACATAAGGCACATGGGTGTACATACGGCACACCAGTGTATTTACGACACACCAGCATACGTACGGCACACCAGTGTATTTACGACACACCAGCATACGTACGGCACACCAGTGTAAGTTCCTCAGACCATAACTAGCGTTACGTACTGTATGAAGTACTGTAATAGTTAATAACACTGACTGTGTCAAAATTCTGTGTAAATAGTTACATAAAATCCTTTGCTTGGACTAGGTTATTTCTGAAAACTATTGTTCATTTGTGTTTTTGTTTATATTACAGAAAGAAAGAATATATTATACATTTATCTTAAATATCTAAACCTAATTTACTTTTAAAACAACACTCACAGTTGAAAATATGAAAAATATGAACAATAGAAAACATTTCTTTCACTCTATTTAAAAACAAGAGCAAAACTAACTCTAAAGCACATTTCCAACTAGACATTACCTGTATGCAGACGACCCAAGTTAAGATGTTCCTAAATAAATACATTAAATTGTTCTTCATTTCTCTCCAAACTGTAAAACGTCATACCTTTTTTTTCTTTCAGAATCTTGTACAGTGAGTCAATTGTCCTTCTGGTTATGCTGGTCCATGTTGGTCCACTGAGAAGACGCACTAATTGACACCAATCCATGTTGGTTGTATTAATTATCTATTAGAGATTTCCTCTGAATTGTACCATTTGTAATAATTTCACAGACTGAAAAACTCCTTCCTATTTCGTGAAGAGCAAAAGTGAAGTGCCTGTTTTGCATCCTACACAAGCAAGTTAATCTGGTTGTGACTGAGGTATGCCAACCACATTCTCAAGGTTCTAATAAGAAGTAATTACCAACATTGATGAGGCCAAAATACTGGAGTGAGGTGTGTCAACTGAACAGTCATGTAAGAACAACAATGATGCCTAACCTCCAGTACTGTATGTGTCATGGTAGTAGTTCATCCTGTCATCCAATAGGCATAGGGTCCCTCTTAGTAATTTACAAGCTACTTGGTTTTTAAGGAAGATTTTCAGCACTGTCTTTTCCCAGTCTCACTAAACTCACCACCTCCGTTTCTTTCATGTACTCCGAGTAAAGAAAGCCATTCAGGTCCAATCGCTTTTGAGTAAATTATGTTTGACAGGTTTCTAAGTGTTGTATGAATGTTTTTCGGTAGTGACATCTATAGACAGGAGGAAAAGTGAAGTAAAGGTGTTTTCCTCTTCATCAGTGGGTTTGACGAGTCTCTTCTCTCGCCACTGAATCAGGAAGTGAAATTCCTACTGTGAAATTTTTAAAAGCAGATTCTGAACTCTGTGTAACCTGATTCTTTCAAAGGCTTGCTAAACATAGGAAAAACCATCACTTCTAGGTCAGGGAGGGTTTGAAAAGCGAAAACCTTTATTTTTTCTGTTCTTGTTTAATTCCAGCCTGATTGAGACATCATCTGGAGGGTGAGTGGCCTGTTCTTTTCCCTTTCATTTACATTCTCTTGCTCTGTGGGACAAAGAAAGCAGTACACTAATAGAGAGAGAGAGGGAATTTCTCTTTTCAACTGACGCCTGCTCAGATGTTCAAGTTGGGACAGTTGCTCTGGATAAAAGCACAATAATCACCTGTGACTGTTATTGTTGATTCATGTTTCTGTCTTTCATCACTTCTCCTCCCCACCCCCTTTTTTGTTTTAGACAATGTGATTCATTGCAACCCACAGATTATACTGGGTTCTTATTCTGTAAATACAGGAAGGAGATATGTATATTTTAAAACCTGAAGGCAATTCTGTATAAATGTTTTTAGAAAACAAAAGCTGATAGGTTGGAATCAAAATGTCTGTAAATCTATACCCAGAAACTAACAATTATTATTGAAACCTAATACATATACCAGAACATGAACACATTGTCAAGACTTTTTTTTTGCAAAATGAAAACCCTCTACTTGAGTCAGGTAAGTGAGGTTTCTCGTGTAACTGTGAAAAGAACATTTTGACATATAAAAACACGCGGGTGTGATTTTTGAAAAGAAGCAACTAGACAAATGCATTCCTGAAGAAAATGTGTGTGGATGCTGATTGCTGAAGAATTGCCCTGAAAATGCTGAAATCCATTGCTGAAACAGCTGAAGGCTGAAAAAAAAATGGCTGAAGTTCTTGTTGAAGTAGTTGAAGGCTGGGATGCGATGCTGAATAATTATGGAAGATGAAATGAAAAACTGAAGTTGGGAATTGAACCTCATTATCTGAAGAAGGTGAGAGCTTGCGAGCATTCCTAAAACAGTGGAAGGCTTAATCCCAAAGTGAGAGGTAGAAATTAAATGGCTTAAAGTTCTAAAAGAATAAATAATTTTTACTGACATCTGACAGATATATTTTGAAGGCAAACCAACCCATGTGTATGAGTGTCTCACTGTGCTACTGTACCTTTATGTGTGTTACTGTGTGACACCGTATTGCTTTGACTGTATATGTTTGGGCGTTTGTTATTTTGTGTATGTGTGTTACTCTGTTGCTGTCTGTCTGTGTCCGGATTATGACTAAACACAAAGTTGTCACACTAACCAATAGCAGTGACTACTGCTGGAACACAGGAATTTCCCCACTGTGGGATCAATATAGTCCCTCCTATCTACCTAAATGTTTTACATTAGTGGTCGACAAGTTTGTTTAAAGGCTGAATGTTTTTTCTAGCTGAAAGTATGCTGGAGTGATTAAGGCTGAAAGAGGAGAAAGATTTTAAGATTCTTTTATTATAAAAAAAATGCTGACAAAAGTATAAAATTTAATAAAACAAGTTGAATAGATGCTACTGACTCAGCATCCACACAAAAGTGTTGGTACTGAGCATTACTACGGTTTCTGTTCTAGTCTACGATGACCTTAGCAAAATGGCGGATTTAAGAGGTCGGCAGCTTCCGGTCGTGCCCAGACTGCTTGTAACGACCTCTCATAAATGGCGCATTTCTGAAATTTGCAAAACAAGAATCTGCCAAGGGTATGTAACGACAGGTACAAACACATTTCAACCTATGTTGTATTTAGCTTGATTTTATAATGCTTTTCTCTCCCAGTTGCAATTGTACTTTTACAACAGTTCTGGAACATTCTGGGTAATTAACATTACCTGACGAACAGCTGATAGGTGGTCACTAGCTTGGTGAACAGGCAAGTAAGTTGGCGCATTTTAAACACGTATATCAGTTAATGTGCGGGGTTGTATTTTTGTTTATTGCTGATGAAAACGCTAAGTTAGCAGCTGACGCTGATTTAGCTAGTAACCTAATTATTTATTTCAGCAAAGTACGCCAGCTGTAACAATGGTGCCAGCTAATGGATACAAACTGCTCAGTACTTTGCACAGCCAGAATAGGCCGATATTTCTGTGTCCTGTTATCTTATATTTCGCAAAAAGCTATTGTCATTTCCTGACATCACTTGCTTTGAATATAGGTTGTTTTCTGTTCTACTTGTACTTTTATTTTTTAGATTAATCAGCTAATCGAGTAATCCTATCAGCACTAACCAAGATGATTTTGCTTTCTGTCTTCTAGCCCTGACAGGAGACAAAAGATAGTGACATGGCAGAGATGGAGGAAGACGTTGGGGATTTGCCAGCCAGAGAAGATGACAATGACTCGGACAGAGATGAAGACGACAGATTGTTTGCTTGGATGGTGAATGATGTGGATGAAGAAGAAGAAGAAGAGGAGGTGGAGGAATTATTTGAGTTGGATATTCCAGCAGAGCGCAGTGGGCATATAGCTGTGGTTCATAGAAACCTCATGTATGTGTGGGGTGGATACAGGGTAAGTATATGTCCTAAAACTATTTTTATTACATTGTTTTGTGTGTTTTTCCCCACAGTCCTCACATTTATTATATTTTATTCCCCACCTATACAAGAATGCTCAAAACCACGGATTCTTTGACTTGTATCTGCCGAGAAATGAGATCTGGACCTACAACATGGAGTCAGGAGTATGGTAATAGCTGTAACATCACAGCAATTGCATTGATTTTTACTTTGTCATTAACACTACTGACTTTGGTACAGCAGGTTGCAGCAATTCTCTGTCAAGGCATGATCACTGTGTGGGTGTGATTTAGATCCTTGTGCATTCTCATTAACGAATTGCAGAAGCCAGTAAAAGTTGTAAATATATGTCCATCCAGTAGTTCAGTTCCCTGTCAAGGGACAATAGCTCCTTATTTTAATGTGTGATTTTAATTTTTAAAAAACTTGAAATAATAAGGTTTTATTTTATGGTCTGACTGGGACCATCAAAATAGACTCATCTAACTTGTGTCTTGAATCTCAAGGTGACAGCTGTTTTTACAAAGCCTTGTCTGAGGTGATGCCCCTCTGGAAAAAATAGCAGCTTCAGCCTTCCTCCTCCAGGCCCCCAGAAAAAACTGTTTACTGCGAATGTCTGAAGCACCAGTGACTTTTAAAACTTCAGGTCCCAGCAGCCACACGGTATTCATCATCTGACACAATCTACTGCAAGAACACACTTCACATTTTTAATATTGTAAAATTATTTATTACAAAAAAATTTAAGGGGGATGAGTGTTTTAGGTTAATCATGGATATAAAATCATCCAGTCATCCGCTTCATCAGCAGCATCATCCCCCTCCTGTGGTAAATAAAACAGAAGGTTAGCTCAAAAATCCTTTAATATGAGCATGATATCAGTGAAGTAGATTTACCAAACTGACAAACTATTGTTTTATGTCACTTTATACCTGATCATTGTAACATTACATGCACAAGAACAGAGAACCTAATAATGGCAACATCTGTACATCTATGTACAGTACTTATGTCTTACATAGCCATTACTTATCATATTTATAGTGGTTATTAATAGAATAAATGAAATGCCTTGCTAGAATTGAGGGTTTCTTACTCTTTGGTCTACCTCCATAGGGACTTCTTCATCAGTGGAGGAGCCAGGTGGTGCCACATTGCTGCATAAAGAACATATTTGCCTTATGTAAGTCATTCTTTGGTCACGGTAGCTGGACACATTGCAACTTAAGATGGGACAAGTCAAAACAGTGAAGATCTTGACCAATTTTATAACACATATACAGCATTAAGTGCAAACTCCAAATAAAAAATCCCCAATAAAATGCTGCAATTTACAGGACAAAGGAAGGAACACAAAAACGATTGTTGGTGTTAAAAGGTAATGCAAGGTCCACAGCCAAGTAGGCTAATATTAGAATGAGTTCCTATCAGCTACTGTATGTCACTTTCTTGCCTTTGTTCAGCCAATAATAATAATAAAACAATTAATTTAAACTTTTAGGTGAATCTTGCCTGATGCTGTATCTGCTTTCTGTCTATTACCTGCCTTTTTGCCTCTTCAATTGTTTACCTGTTATGACTACCTGGTCATCTAATGTAAAACTGTATCCCTGTTCATTTTAATTGTAACTCAGCCAGCCCTGTCTGAGTGCATACAGATGCACTCAGACAGCTCATCGATCTGGTCTTGATCCTAAACTGTGAGACCATTTGAATTTGAAAGGGTAATTTATTTGAATGAAGTAATGCTTGGTCCCGTTTCAGTCTAAAACTGAAAGATAACCTTTCTAGAGATTTTACATAACAGTTGCCATAATCAGAATGTGTTTATATAATTTCACTAGAGTCATTAATATGCATGTGTAAAGGTTTGAATATTTAAATGCCATATTACAAACAAAGTGACACGCTTTATGTGCATAAAGAAAAATATATTGACATTTTTTGTAGCCACCACTCAGAAGATACAAACACACTCTTAACAGTTTATTGGCAGACTTTTGGTTTTCTTTTAAAGAAAGCAATTTGTGCAAAGGCCAGTCAACAAAATTTACACACATGTAGTTTCATAGACATCTTACCTGGTCTGTGCATTGCATGCTGTTTCTGGGGGATCACATTCCATGGGAGTGTCCTCATTCTCACTAGAGCTACAAGCAAATTAGATAGACAGGTGACATAGCAGACAGTAATTCAGGAATAGGAACACCTTCATTTTTAAATAAAGACTGATGAAATAAATGCTAAATGAGAGACATAATGTTCTGACTTTGGTACGGTGGCCCTGAGAGCTCAGTTCAAATAATTCAAATAAACAAAACACTACCAAATTAAGAAAATACTTTCATCAATTTGATGGCAGATGCGCAACATTTAGAAAACATGCGGATAATACAGAAAATACTGCCAAATATACAAAGACGCTGCAAAAATAGAAAACAAAATCAGCTGCATGAAGTGCTGTAAATATTGAAAACACAACCAAATGCAGAAACATGTTTTCTGTGTTTGGTTGTGTTTTTTGTTTTTGCTGCATGTTTTCTAAATGCTGGGCATCTTTGGTCAAATTGATGAAAGCGTTTTTTTTTTTTATTTGATAGTATTTTGTTTATTTGAATGGGTTTTCTCAAGTTGCAGTGCACTGAGCTCTCAGGGCCACCATACAAGTACAGAGAACTTTGAGAGAAACAGAGAAACATGAAGAACATATTTGCCTTATGTAAGTCATTCTTTGGTCACGGCAGCTTGACATATTGCAACTTAAGATGGGACAAACAACTAGTCTCTCTATATTACTAAAGTAAATCCACACATTGCATGTACAAAATGCATATTTAGGTAAAATTATGTCTACGTACCTGTATGCGCTTTGTATATGGCCAGAAGCTGCTCGCTCTATGGCAATCTGGCCATAAGGAAAAAAATAACCAAAACACATAATGCACACTAGATAACAATGTATTATTTAAGACCATATTTTAAATCGATTTTGGCTGTGCACATTAAAAAGTAAATGCTATAAACTTTACTTGTTCATAGATGACTACAACAGGACGCCCATCTTGATTGTCCACACACTCGATTGAAATCTGCAATATAATCCAAAATGTATTGTCAAGATGAAATGCATCATATATATTGCAATATCAAACTCCTCAAACTGCACTACATGAGTTACAAGTTAACGTTTGATTCCTCAACATGCTATCAATTGTAATGCTAACCACGTTCTTCAACCACATGGCAGCATTAGCAGAATCAAAATATCAGCTTTGATTCAATCAGTCACCAAATCAGTCCACATCTAAATACAAACAAAGCAGAACACTTCTTCATGCTTTACCAAATATCTGTAGAGGTATGTTCATTTCGTGTGATGTCTAAACTTACATGCATCTTCATATTAACTGATGCCATTCTTTCGTTCGTCTTTTTCCCGCCTTCTGTTATTTTTCCCGCCTTCTGTTTCTCTCATGAATGACGCATATAATTCACGTGTTTCCGGGCCAGCCGAGAGACATAGCTCCTCCTTTTCTCTGCGTCTTTTCGGCCACCTGTATCTGGGATAACCCAAATACACACCAGTGTAAGTTCCTCAGACCATAACTAGCGTTACGTACTGTATGAAGTACTGTAATAGTTAATAACACTGACTGTGTCAAAATTCTGTTTAAATAATTACAGAAAATCCTTTGCTTGGACTAGGTTATTTCTGAAAACTATTGTTCATTTGTGTTTTTGTTTATATTACAGAAAGAAAGAATATATTATACATTTATCTTAAATATCTAAACCTAATTTACTTTTAAAACAACACTCGCAGTTGAAAATATGAAAAATCTGAAAAATAGAAAATATTTCTTTCCCTCTATTTAAAAACAAGAGCAAAACTAACTCTAAAGCACATTTCCAACTAGGCATTTCCTGTATGCAGACGACCCAAGTTAAGATGTTCCTAAATAAATACATTAAATTGTTCTTCATTTCTCTCCAAACTGTAAAACGTCATACCTTTTTTTTTTCAAAATCTTGTACAGAGAGTCAATTGTCCTTCTGGTTATGTTGGTCCATGTTGGTCCACTGGGAAGACGCACTAATTGACACCAATCCATGTTGGTTGTATTAATTATCTATTAGAGATTTCCTCTGAATTGTACCATTTGTAATAATTTCACAGACTGAGAAGAGACCAACTCCTTTCCTATTTCGTGAAGAGCAAAAATGAAGTTACTGTTTTGCACATCACACATAAGCAAGTTAATCTGGTTGTGAGGTAAAGACTGAGGTGTGTCAACCACATTGCCAAGTTTCCGACACAACTAGTTACTAATAATAATAATAAGTAATTACCAACATTGATGAGGCCAAATACTGGAGTGAGGTGTGTCAACTGAACAGTCATGTAAAAACAATCTCTTCCTCAATGTGGGGAAGACTAAAGAGATCATTGTAGACTTCAGGAAAAATCCTCTAAAGCATCCCCCACCGACCATCGACGGTGCTGTAGTGGAGAGAGTGAGCAGCACCAAGTTCCTGGGGTGCACATCTTTGAGGACCTCTCCTGGACTAACAACACTACAACACTGGCCAAGAAAGCTAAAAAATGCCCCTACTTCCTCCACAAACCAAGGAGATAGTGCCCCACCCCCCATCATGTGCTCCTTTTACCGGGGCACCAGTGAGAGTGTCATCACTGGCTGCCTCACTGTGTGGTATGGAGCCTGTACTGCCTCCCGCAGAAGGACCCTGCAACACATAGTGAAATACAGCCAGCAAGACCATCGGTACCCCTCTGCCTTCCCTTACGGACATCTTCAACACCCGCCTCACCTGTAATTTGTCTTTAATCTCCAATTGTGGGGAGGATGCCATCTCCCCCTGACCCTGGCTCCCCCAGCCGTAGCTTTCATGATGTACCTCACTAGGTAGATAGCATTAAGGGCCTCCTGCTGTACAGGAACACACTTGGAACTTTTACTGGCTTCTAAATCACACTCACGAAAAAATCGTGCCTTGACAGAGAATCAAACCCCAACCTGCTGTACCAAAGTCAGTAGTATTAACCACCAAGCTATCCAGCTACTAGATAAACACATATTTAGAACTTTTACTGGCTTCTGGTATTGGTTAACACAGCTTAGCAAGGAAAAGGGAGTGCTTGGTTTGAGG